TTTGCAATCATGAAGCAGCTCCAGAAACTCTTCCGGATCCTCCTTCTCCGTAGCTAAAAACTTAATGTTCCTTCAGATTGGAATGTCAATCGCAAGGGAAATTTTTTTCCACCTCTTGACGACTTATCACCCTCAGTCGGATGTCTCTCTGCCCCACGCATTGATCCGGAATTACTTCCGCTCACGGCAGCGTGTCCCACTGACTTCGACTTATTGACTTGAGGAGTAGGTAAACCTTGTGCCCTACTACTCCACTCCATTGCTTCAGGAGCATTTAAGACCTTCCGCAGTCCTCGTACAATCTCCGACATTTCCTCTATCGTGTTTTCCGAAATAGGAAATATCTGGTTTGGCCCCAATGATTGAGGACCCTGTCTCTTTGGAATTGCACTAGTTGTCACCCCTGACAATGAGTCATATTCTGACGGTACACCCATCGGTTGGGGTGCTTGACCAAACGACTGCAATTGAGAAGGCAGCCAGTTAACCTCCATGTTCTGATTTTGCTCCCAAATTGCTCTTAACCCTGGGCCAATATGCATCCCGGTGTTGACTTGTTGAACTCGCCAAGAACTTGGTGTGGCAGCCGGAGTACAAACCCCTGAGGGCGTCGACCACACAACATTTGTATTACCTCCCCCTGTTGATCCTGCCATACACGTCACAACTGTAGTTGAGACTGGCACAGCACTGGCGGTGACTGTACAAATTCCTACCGTGGTCAGAGAAGTGTACACCCCTTGTGTGCACTGACCACTTGTTTCCTCATACGAAAGATTTTCTCTTGCGACTGGAGAATTGTTTCGTATGGCCAAATTGTCCGCTTGGAACCCCTCGCCTAGTACGCCCTCTGTATCTACCACGAATCTAACCTCAGGATTTGATTTACTGGACTCATTCCTTTCCATAGGCATGAAAGCCTCACACAGAAAGGTTTGTTCTGAGTCCGCCATGTCGAAATTACTGTACCAAGTCACATACAGTTTTTCACCGAACAACATTTTCGTCCGTAGACGCCATAATCGTTCGCGAATCACTTGATTAGTGCCTCTCGCGCTGCACCCCTGGTTCTCCAATTCAGAACTCACTTCCCGAATTGGGGTACGCAAAATATTCACCCAAATCGCTTTCGCATCCTCATCCTCTAGAAGTAGAGCCAAATGCTGGCGATAAGACAGCATCGCCATGTCTGAATTATCAAATTCAGCGCTCTTAAATTAACACGGTTTAACTACTAAAATTAAAATTAATTTTTCACTACGAGCAACGCCACGAAGGAAAAACCAAAAAAAAAAATTAAATAACTCCACTCACTATCTCTCGCTTATTTATTCCCCCAACAGAATAAATAAAAGTTTAAAGAAATCTACACAGGCCTAAAAAAACTAAAATAACTGTGTTCGATTTCATATAAAACCACAATAAAAAGAAAAGAAATAATCGTTTCCCGCGTCTAAATCCTCAACGCCTGAAAATTTAACGTGGCGTCACCACGCCAACGGAAATGATAAATTCGCTGTTCACACTCACTATTACACCACGCTACTAATCCCTTTCAACAAAAAAAATAATAAATATACGCACTATTTTACCGCCGGTCTCACAAACTCAAAAAGAAAATCTAAAGAAACACCTTTTTAATTCTTTTGAATTCTCAGCAAAAATGCTGTCCAAATTGTAAAAATAAATACTCAAAATCACATACAACACCCCTTGTTCGCTGTTCGCTTCGACAATCGCGATTGTTCCAGCCTTTCCCCACTCTCCTGTCAGAAAATATGATGCTACCCCCTCTCACTCTCTCCTCAAATTTTGCGCGGCATTGTAATTTCGACGGCTTCGCTCGTCGCCATTTTTCTACCGGCAAATGACGTCACTTCCGTGCACATGGCAATTTAATTCCATGGCCCTGGTATTTTCCAACGATTTTTACACTCCCCAAAATATTAGTCCCCACACACAAAGGAAAAATTTTCACAACAAATATGCCTCCAATATTTAAATAATTTGGTTTGTTTGTCTCACTGTTTGGCGGCTGCCCCACGTTGGGCGCCAATTCGCGACGTGCTTTTTAAATAAATTAATATTGCGCATCTAGCGCGTCGTTGATAATTACTATTAAGAAAAACCTATCTCGAAACCTCGTTCTCTCTGGGGAGATTCCGCCAAACAAAACCGACGATGCAAAACGGCGAGACCAATGAACCTAAGGGAAGCCAACACTTACCCACGATGTCTTCAACAGCAAAATCTCCGCAATCTGTAATTAATAATTACGCCAACTCCCAGTTAAACACTGATTCACACGAGTATAATTCTTTATTAAAAAATAAGTAAATCACAGTCAACAATAATTAAACTATCAATCAAAATTATATGGACCACTCGCGATCCGCGGCCTGCAGGGAAAACGTGTCGCCTGATTGATTGTCGAATGAATAGTGCTGGACTCGATCGCCACTGCGCGCTAAGGTCCTTCTTCCTTGTCCGGTCCTTGTCTCGCAGCTTGGAAAATCCATCTCTCGTTCTCCGTCACTCCGACGCAACAACCACCTGTAAGGGGGAAATTCGGACGTCGCCGACCAAATTCGCAACCCTTCGGAATCACGCCTGCGCGACTCATTAATATTCGTTCTGTCCCACAAAACACATCTTTCCAAAAAGGCCCTCAAAATAATATTACAAATCTCGACGAACGGAAGCAATATTTCGTTCGTATAACGAATGCCTCGTTATAAAGAAATCAATTTAAAAAGTTTGTTTTCATATTTTAATATTACTGCCGATTACTAATGCTTTTACTTGACGATCACTAAGGCAATTAGTTTTCATCCTTGCCGATAACTAACACATTTGCATGTTACGAACTTTATTTGTAAGTAATTATTAACAATAATACTATTTTTAAAAAACAAGAGTTAATTATGCTTCTTTAGACTTTAATTTATTCTTAAATATTAATTATTAGTTTAGAAATACCGTTTAACATTGTTTAATACACAATTAAAGTTGTCAATTCGGCTCAAGATGACGATTACTAGTGCATTTACCTTATTTTTAAAAATCCTCTCGTCATTTTTGAGAGATTAATGTGATAAATAAGCCTACCAAATTTTATCCAAATTCATTAAAACCTGTTAAAGATATCGTGTTCACAAAAATGATACATACAAAATCACATACAAAATCTATACAAGTACGTAAAGGATTTTGAAAAAACCGATTTTTGTGAAAAAGGCACGTGTTTGATAAAAATTTCGAGTTTTTTGGTAAAAAAATCGGTACAAAATTGTTAATAAAAAAAACTTTTTTGATAAAAAATAAAACCTTTAAGTACTTCCAACAAGAATGTTATCTTGAAGCTGTAAACAAATTTTTATCTGATTTGGTCAAAAATTGTACGAGGAAAGTTACCACCCAGTAAAAAAAGGAATTATTGAGCAAGCCGTTTGGATAATAGAGCAAGCTGTCTGCTTATTTGTCCAAACGACATCTGGACAATTGGACTGCTTGCTCAATCATCCAATGCATTAGGCCTAATCAACCTACACATATTTAGAGGTTTCGCAAAGGAAAAATTGACTTAACTGTATATAAAACTTAAAAAAAATTAATAAAAATAGATAAATATTGATACACTGTAAAAAGAAAGGTATTAATTTAATACTGACTTTAGGTACTAAATTGTTATTTGGTTCTATTTTGATACCTAAAATCGGTACTGTCTTAGTACCTTCTTTTTACAGTGTAAATAAAGTATGAAAGTATCTGTAATAGGCAACGACAAAGAGTTTCATGAAATCTTATTTTTTTGTTGACGGTGCAACACTGTGCATGTGATTCTGTGGGTATAAAAAAACTTTTGTTACCAACTATTGTTATTTACCAATTGAAAATTTCTATTTTTGAAGAAGGAAACATAATTAGTATGAAAAGAACTTTAAATAAAGTGATTACGTTAAAATAAAATAAATTCAACTGTTTCCTTCTTCAAGAAAAGAAATTTTCAATTAATAAATATTCAGTGTCGGTAAAGAAATATACTTTTACCTGCAGAATTACATGAACAGTAACCAAAAAAACGGAATAACGATCTATGGCACAATTGAAAAGTTTGGTTATGAGCTTTCAAAAAACGTAAATTTTCATGAAATTTATAATAAGTATGTATATGTAAATTGTTATTTATTACACTTTTGGTAACTATTATTAATTCTATTAGTTACAATAATTCGCTTACAGCTATTAATTTATAAAATTTTTATATTTTTTGAAAGCTCATAACCAAGCTTTTCAATTGTGCCATAGATCGCTATTCCGTGGAGCTCTTCATTTATCTGTTTTTATTAATGTTTTTAAGTTTTAAATAAAGTTAAGTCAATTTTTCCTTTGCGTAGCCTCTAAATATCTGTTGGTTGATTGGGTCTAATGGTGGTCTAATGCATTGGAGGATTGAGCAAGCAGTCCAATTGTCCAGATGTCATTTGGACAATTGAGCAAAACGGCTTGCTCAATAATTCCTTTTTTACTGGACGGCCAGTTTGAAAAACTTGGTTTTGAGAAAAACGCGTAAACGTATGTCTCTATGATATACAGAACCGTATATCCGGCACCGCGTCGATGTAAAATTTAAGCTTTTAAAAATATTTTTCCTCTATAATAATTATTATTTCTCATTCCTAACACCCTATGGCACATTTTTATCAAAAAAATATTTTTCGATTTTTTAAAAATTTCACAGTGGTTTAATCCCTTAAGTGAAATAACTTTTTCTGAGAAGAAATAATATGTGACGCTCCACGAGAGAAGGGACCTATCTCCGAAATAATATTAGGCTTAGTTTTCATGTACGGTGCACGGAAAACTGAGCCTAATGTTATTTCGAGGATAGGTCCCTTCTCTCTTGGAGCGTCACATATGTGTAAAATTACATTAAATACAAAAAGAAGAATAACAAACTATTTGATTTACATTAATAAAAATGTATTTTACTTTTCGAGATATGTTAATGATGTCCAGTCAGTTTTTTCAACTGCTTATCTTTTCGTATTTGGGCTCAGTATAATAGATTTAAGCATCACAGGTGTCCAGGTATTAAGTTAAAATAACTTTATCAATAAGCTAATGTTTAATAGTTATTTGTTCAACAAAAACGCATTTGTTCGTGAAGCAAGACCCGTGTGAAGTTTACCGCACGAGTGAAGCCAGTATGGTAATCACATGAGTCGAGATTACCCTACAATGCACCCGCGTTGCACAAACTCTTTTCTATATACATTTTGTGTCAAAACCGAGATTCTTTGTTGTCACTAAATGTCGGTGTACTAATATGTAAGAATTGTACGCGCAGGGAGTTCGTGGGACTTACCCCCCTCCGTGGAACCCAGGGAAGGCCCCCCCCCGACAGTACAAACACAAAATCAAAGTATGTAAATAATTATTTTGACACTCATGAGTACAATGAGCGGCCGTGCCGTAAGAAAAATCTCACGCAACACTACTCAACCTATAGAGCGCTGTTGTAGTGCGAGTGAGAAACTAAAAATAACGCGACTGCTGACGGATTAAAAGTAGATTTCCCCGATTTTAAACCGTAGTATGATATAAAAACTGCTTCTAAGACGAGGTTTTGACGCAAGGTGTTATTGAAAAAAATATTAGTCTACACTTTAATCTTCAATATTATAATGTGATTCAGAGTGTCATGAGTAAGAATAATCCCGAGGAAGCCATAAGATTCGGATTTTACACAATGTGTCAAGTGTTTCATATTTTTCTTTTAACTCTGCCACCTCAGCAGTTACTGGATAGCAGTCTTAGTCTTCCTATCTACATGTACAACTTATTTTAATCATTTAATATTATTTTTTAACGAAATAAAGTACAAAGATCAAAACATTAATTTGTACTATACATAGATTCTAACTTTGCCTAAGTAACACTTAATATTCATATAGCAGAGTGGTTTAGTAGCGACACTCTTAGATAAGATAGAAAAAGCGGTGTTTGATTCTATGTATTATCTTCATCTTACTGTGCTCTCACAAACAAAGTTTATAAAATTAAACATTGATTATATTAGATACAATACAGATTGGTATTATCTGTCTACTGAAACAAAAAAAATGTTACTCCTAATAATGAAAAGAGGATCTCAACCAACTACATTTATCGTTGGAAAAATATTTATTCCATCACTTCAGTTTTTTACGAAGGTAATTAAATTAAAATATATAAATTATTGTGATGCAGTATATAAATTCTGCTAATTTCTTAATCTGCACCATATGACTACCTTTTTTCAATCAATAATTATAAAAATCTTTGGTTATAACACAATCTCGTCCGTATTCAAAATTCCCCCGTGGGATCATATATATGATCCCATATAGTTTCCTCTATAAAAACCCTTATGAAACCCCAGGTTCCATATAGGAATCCAAATGGGATCCCATGTAAATCATATATGAAATTGGAACACAATTTGGTGTATGATTTCATGTAGGAATTTATGATTTTGTTTCTATATAGAAACATATGTGAATTTCTACATTATTTCCTATAATTTTTCTGGCATATTATTTTTGTCAATTCCCTATGTTGATTTCTTTCATAATTTTATATATTTTTATTTGACATGATATTTTTTATAAGATTTGATGTGCACAATTATAAAGGAAATTGACAAAAATAATATGCCAGAAAAATTATAAAAAATAATGTAAGAATTCACATAGGTTTCTATCTAAAACCAAAATTATAAATTCCCACATGAAATCAAACACCAAATCGTGTCCCAATTTCCTATATGATTTTACATGGGATTTCGTGTGGATTCCTATGTAGGACCTGGAATTTCATAAGGGTCTTTATAGAGGAACCTATTATGGGATCCCACGTGGGGATTTGCAATATGGGTATTCTAAAACTGTGAATACAAGCTTTTTTTGGAAATATTTAATGCAGTATAGATCTTCGAGAATTGTACAAAGAAATTCAATCAGCCATTTATTATAGAAGAAAAAATTTAAAAAATTATATCAATATACTAATTTCACATGTACATGCAAATTAATAAGTGTTTTAATTACAATTGTTTGTAATTTTTATAAAATTGATTAAAGGTACTTCAAACATCACTATCATATTTTACTGTATTGATATCTGTGCGAGGATAAAATAGAATTTCTACTCTTGAATTGGAAGATGATTTGAATATTGGAATAGTAATCCTTACTACTAGACAACATTTAGAAAAAAACGTAGTATACGCTAATAAGAAACCAATTTAATTACATTGCATTGTACATGTTCATTTTAAAATTTTTAAATTTTGATGAAAATATTAGAAATAAAAACTATAATTTACATCTAGTATAATTTGTACAACCTTAGTTGTTAAAAGAATATAAAAAAATTCTAAGAAATGCTGTATTACTTACAAAAAATGCATTATTATGTACGGAATATGGTTTCCTTCAAGGCCTTCCTCCAATATGTTCCTAAATGTTTGCGTTGTGTTACTGACACGTTGATTTGTAAGCGCAGTGACGTCATCAAAGCATTGATACCAATCGCGAACAAAAAGTTTGGTTTATGTTCCTCTTATCTCTGTTTTCCAACTTTACAATTTTAAATGCAAATATTTCTCGACGTCTTTTAATAATTTTAATTATTTAATATTTATAAGTAAAAAATGTAGTGTCTTAAAATCATAAACCAAACTTTTTGATCGCAATTGGTATCAATGCTTTGATGATTTCACTGCGCTTGCGAACCAACGCATCAGTCATGCAATGCAAACATGTAGAAACCTATTGGAGAAAGGCCTTTATCATATACTTTTAAAAAAATATATTGAATTATACCCACATAGGAAGAAATTATGCGCGAACGCTACTCCTCATGGGTAGGAGCTGTCCATGCTGTGGATATCACGTGTCTATTACAAAGTAGTAGTGATAAAGTTAACGTTGGCCCATACTGGCGTTACACTTATATATTTGGCCATGACTTGGTATATGGATAAGACTTAAAATATAAGTCTGGAGAAATAAGAGTGAGGACCAAGGACGAACCAGGGTTCGTTGGACCCACAAGAGTGGGTGAGCCATTGTTCACAATAATGAGATCTGAATCATCCAATTTTTGGTATAGGTTTCGTGCATTGGAACAAACATTGGAGCTACCCCAGAAAGTACTGTGACAATTGCAGTGACATCTATCACAAGACCACCACCTTTCTTTATTATGTCTAATTATATTAAATTGTTTAAGAGTATTTAAATTATCTCTTTTATAGAGTTTTAAAAAGGATTCACAGAGCAAAAGAATATCAAATTGGTGAGAAATTTTTTAAGTTCGTGTGTCTTGTTGAAGACGCCACGACGATTCCATTGCATTAGGTTTCATTTAGACAGATTGGCCATTGTTTTGGATTTCAGGGTTGAACAGTAAACAGTCAGGTTAGAGGAAAGAGATTTAATTTGAGCAAAGAGATAAAGAATGAAGAAATTGATTCCGGGTTTGATGGAGAGAGGGAGTCAACAGATGACCTTTCTAGTGTTGAGAGTGGAGATTTGGAAGGTGCAAATCTATTAGGGCAAATGTCTTTGTCTTCCATTCGAATTTGTTAGGTGGAGTTTTCGAATTTTTCTGGTGACGAGAGGTTGGGTTTGTGATTTCTGAAAAAAGACGGTGCTGAGAGTTTTGTGAAGTGAAAGAGGGTGCTGTGGTCTCTCCGAACTGTGGAAAATTCGAAAAATTAAAAGTGTTTGTTGCCGTTTTTTAGGACAGCTTCGCAATTTGTCCGAATTGGAGGACTGAGGGAGAGTTGTGCCCGGAACGGTGATCAAGACAGTTTTTGATGGGACGTATTTCGTTTCCTTAGATATTTCATCGAATGTTTTCCTGTTTAGGCGTCGTGCTTGCAAAATTTTTATCTGGTTAACATGTGGGCTTAAAACCTCGCCATGTTGAATAATTTCGTCCATTGAAATGTCAGTGTCGACATTATTCATGATACCTTGACATGTGAGAATACTTGTGGGAATTATACCAAAATCAAACCTTTTTCTTTTAGCTTCGAGTTATTCAGAAGCTAATTTGCAACTTCTCCTGATTTAACGACGACTCTTACTTTGACGCGACCGCTTTGATTTATGTCAACAATTTTTCCGGGGAACAGTGAGTGAACTGTGCGACTGAGACATGTGACATATTGCCGAGATGTTTTTGAAAATCAACGGATTTGGGGTCGCGTTGAATTAAGACCGTGTAAGGGCCTTTTAGATTTTTTTCGTATCTAAGAGTAGGGTTAAAGTTGTCGTTGGTGATTAAAACAGTTGATGTTTCTGACACAGGAGCAGTATTTTCGCTGAAGTCATTTTTATCATTGCAAAGTCTCTTATTTGTGTTTGACAAATCAGATGGTTATAATAATTGTTTGAGAAACAATAATTCGTGCACTGTTGCCTTAACTTCCATTGCTGCTCTCTGCCAATGAGGAATCTCCAATGTTTCACTACTCATGATCGGTGTGCCGGAGGTACGGCAAGTAAACTTTGGTGCCAAGACAGGTCTCGGTGGGCAGAGATGTGGAGAGGGAAACTAAAAAAATGGCCGCTCATAGCGGTAGAAGTGACGCTCAAATGGGATGTAGAAATGTGGTCGTGCCGAGGACACCTGAACTCCCGTAGTCTATACGTAGTCTATACACACACCATGGACAGCACTCACTTTGAAATAGTTTTAAAGGTATGTTAGATCAACAAAACTTCACTTGCGATATGCGTGTGAAACAGCAAAAAAACATAATACTTTGAAGAAAATTTCCGTTTAATTTAGAAATTATATGGCCACCCCTCCCTGAGCAATAGAACCTTAGGTCCTTTGCTAAAGGATTTTAATTGTAACCCGAGTTTTATTGCTTAAAACATTTGTAATTTTAAGAATTCAAGTTTAACAAATATATATTAAGATTCGTTTGTTTTTCCAGATTACGAATATCTAAAATTTATTACAAAATATTTACGTTTAAAAAAGTTATAATTTATCTCGTATACCTTAAGTTTGACAAAAAATGGACATCAGTTTTGAATTTAGCTGCCAAAAGACATATATCATATACATAATAATGTATGAACATAACATAAATCCATCAAAAACAAATATAATTTTGAAATAAGTGTAAAATTTTAGTTTAAACATATTGAAAAAGCCATTTGCTTTTACTTTTATGATGGTATTAACGGTAAATCGACCCTTTTCGCAGGTAAATTTACCAGTTCCATTTTAGTACCAAAATGCACCTAATTGGTACTGAGCCCGTAGTTTCAATTCCCCAGTACCTCACTTACAGTAGGGTAGCGCTTGCATAGAATGTTCTCCCGTGCAGAAAATGTCGCATTCAAAAGTGTTGAAATGTATTAACAGTTTGAATCCATTTTAATCCTGCGATTTGATGCATTAATGTGATTTAATACTAAAATAGCGCAGCTCGCTTTAAAAAGTATTTAGAAGTTTTAGTTAAGCAACTACGAATATTAAGAATACGAATTACAACTTTGAGACTCTTAATCATACTGGGAGCGCATAAACGCGCTCAACCAGGGGAGGTTATGAGAAGTTTTGAGAAAATGTCTTTAATAAAGAAAACATTAAATAGATACCCATGCAGAAATTTTACCATGGTCCGGAACGGGCGGGATTAAAACGCCGCGCCTGATTAGGAAATCCACATTTTCTAGTGGCCCTGATCGGGCGTAGCGTTTTATTCACTGCTAGGGTCCTGGTAGGGAAATTTATGCACTTGTATTTATATTCCCAGTAGTCAAAAACCATGTTCGTTTTAAAAAGGTTTTTAGAACGTTTCATGTCTGCCAAATAATGTTCTGAAACATTTTAAGGATTCTCCAGAGGGTGGTGCGAGTTAAGGGGATAGTTTCTATTCCCGTTTGATAAGAAAGGTTCTTGTCCTTCTAAATAGAAAAATTGTTTAGAAAAAGGTGTATAAATTAATAATAAGCTTTCCTCGTTACTAAAATATTATAAATTCTATTTAATTAAATTTTTTAAAAAGTGCTTGAAATCATGGCAACGTCGCATTCTCGTCGCGTAGTTTATGTAAGGTTGGTAAAACTGGTCTTTGTATGTATATATATATGTAACACATGATTGGGCCTACACCTGATCTGACAGCTAACCTCAAATTTTT